CATGTCACTACAGAATAAAGAATTGAAACTGTAAAGTCACATTTTTTTTTAGTTGTCAATGGATCTTTATTTATTTATACACAATGCTAAGAATTGAACCCAGTGCCTCACACATGCTAGGAAAACACTCCATCACTGAGCCATGACCCCAGCCCCACATTTATTTTAATATTTATTTTTTAGTTATAGTTGGACACAATATCTTTATTTTATTTATTTATTTTTATGTGGTGCCAAGGATCAAACCCAGGGCCTCACATGTGCTAGGCGAGCGCTCTACTGCTGAGCTACAACCCCAGTCCAAAAACCACATTTTTTAAGAAGTAAAATGATTAACTCTTTTTTTCTCCCCTGAGGCAATCATGCCCAACAACTTTGATTTTTCCTTCACTACTTGGTGAAGAGCCCAAATATATACTTTGTTGTGGTTTAGTTCCTATAAGGATTAATATTGCTCAGAACTGATAAAAATAATTAATTCCTGCAGTACACTACGTTTTCTGTGATTTTGTTCACTTCCGTTTTCTGTGATTTTGTTCACTTAAAAATGCCTGCTACCTGGCTGGGGATATTTCTCAGTTGGTAGAGTGTTTGCCTTGCAAGCACTCACACAAGGCCATGGGTTCAATTCCCAGCACCAAAAAAAAAAAAAAAATGTCTGCTAACTTAGATATTTAAGATGTGCATCCCAAAGTCCAAGTTTTGAAATAAAAATCCCTGAAGTATTTAAGTTCTCTCCATATTCAAAAGCAATAAAAATAATCAGGATGAGGGGAGAAAGAAAGAAAGAAAGAAAGAAAGAAAGAAAGAAAGAAAGAAAGAAAGAAAGAAAGAAAGGAAGGAAGGAAGGAAGGAAGGAAGGAAGGAAGGAAGGAAGGAAGGAATTGTGTCCATCTACAACTAAAAAAATATATTTTTTAAAAAAGCAGGATGATAATTAACAAAGCTTTTATCCAGAAATAATTTCAGTGTCAGATTACTGTAAACTTTGAAATGGAATGTTACAGAACATGGGGGTAATCTAGGAATTGGGTGAACTGGGAACTCAGCAAAAGAGATGGCAGTCAGGAGGAATGCCTACATTTAAATCCTAGCTCTGGCTCCCTAGCTATGTGGCTTTGGGTATGTTACTTTACCTTACTATGCCTCGGTACTCTAATCTGTAACACAGGGAGAATGATCGTATCAACCTTATTTTATTATTCTGAGGATTAAATGACTGTACATATAAAAAGATCAGAAGGGCTAACAGGGACATACTGGATACACAGCATTAAGTATTTTAAACATTTTACCTTTCAGCATGTGACTAGCAAATCCAAGGCTGTAATGAGGATCAGGACTCCTTTCTGATTCTTTCTATAATGTGAGTACAAAGATAAGATCTCCTGAACATCTGCCCCAAGGTTCACAGCAGCTCTGCACCCATGGGCCTTGGGTGGGGGAGTGACTCAGCTATTGTCCATGGTTCTAGAAAAGGTGTATGCCACAACAGTGGGACTGTTCACAGTTTGCTCCTCAAGTTGCTTCCAATATTCTTCCCAGAAATTGCTTTAAATCTCCAGGTCCCCATGGAGACCTCAGGAGAGACTGCCCATTGACTTTAAGTGAAATTTTACCATGACTGCTCCCTTGATAACAAAYGGATATTTTTAAAAGCCTGGCCCCAACAGACTTCTGCTGCAGCTCATGGCCACAGCCACATTCTTCCTGGACTAAGAGGGTAAGAGTTCACCCTCTGGGGCCAGGCTGTGTGTTCTGCTCAAAAGAAAGGGGGAAAACACAACGTGTGCTGCTACTCTCAGMATCAGAGACCAGGCGAGGGACTTTCCATTCATGTTTTTGACCAGAGGCTGGAATGAGGTGTCTGCCCGGAATGGCAGAGTAAATTAATCAACTTGTATTCTTTGCTGCCTGCAGAAATTAATTGTAATGTGCTTTTCACACCAAAAGGTAGAAAAGTAGAGCTTGGAGTTAAGGCAGAGGGCAACACACAAGAGACCTGTTTGAAAAAGGACTCCATCGTCTACAGGAGGAATAGAATCTAGTCAAAGCAAAGAATTCAAAGAAGGAGAATTCCCCAGTACTTTGCCAGCATTATTCAGAGTTCAGTGGAGCAAGACACTTGATGTTCCAGATTTCCAGCTCCTGGGGTGACAGAAATTGTTCCTTTCTTAAATATTTGAGGGATATTTGTTGAGCAGCTCCTATAATGCATCAGATACTGCGCTAGGCGGCAGCATGAGAGTGGAGAATAAGGTAGAAAGGCACCCAGTCTAGAGAAGGGAGATGGAGAGCAGACTTTTAAACAATTTGCAAGATCACTGAAGTTAGTGATAACTGCTAGGAAGGGAGGAAGGGCATGGATGTGGACTGGGGCAGTCAGCTCAGGGGATGTCAGACACAAGAAACAGGAAAAAAGGCTGGCCAGGATAAACAGAATGTGAGATCTGTTTACTGAGGAAGGAATGAGCTCCTCCTGCCCAGGAACAGGAACCTAATGGRGGAGGCAGGACAGGGAGTGGGGAATGGCCAGGAATGGAAAGCGTAGTCACAGAGGCAGCCTCCTCACAGAGATCCCTGAGAGAAAGTCACTGTRAGTGAAGATGACATGTGACTGTGAAGACCAGCCTGGATGGTGAGGCCTGATGCTACCTAACATCCATAGCAGGAAATACAGAATTGAATACATAATGCTTATCTGCAGGCTACACAGGCACAGAACATCCCTGGGAAGTTATAAAATAAGCTGAAAAAGAGGTTGCTCCTGGGTAGGGAAATCATAAAATTGGATGGCAAAGAGGGAAGAAAGTTTRCTTTTCACCATTTACTCTTTTATACATTTTTAATTCGTACTATGTATGGGTAACCTCTGTTTTTTAAAGAATTAAAAATTAAACTGAGGGGTTGAGGGTATAGATCAGTGATAYGGTATTTGCCTAATATGGACAAGGCCCTGGGTTCAATGTCCAGGCACCAGAAAAAAATTTTAAAACTGAGGAAAACCACATACAAAAAAAAAAAAAAAAAGTTTGCCTTTTTGCTACTATTAAGCAACCCCTCTTTGGAAAGACATAATTTTCTTAAAAGCTACATAGTTTTCAATCAGGAACAACCAGTTCTACTAACTTGAGAGCCATTTTATGTTTTCATGTTTGCTTCCCCATTCTGGGGTATATCAGATTCTCAGAGACACTTTATTTCTCTTGTTTTCAATTTACAAATTCTGTCCCCTGCTTTTCTCAAAAACTCCTCTGTCTAGCACACCTGTAATCCCTGCAGCTCAGGAGGCCAAGGATTACCAAATCAAAACCAGACTCAGCAAAAGTGAGGCACTAAGCAACTGAGTGAGATCATGTCTCTAAATAACATGCAAAATAGGGCTGGGGATGTGGCTCGGTGCCGAGTGCCAACTGAGTTCAATCACCCGTACTCCAAAAAGCAAACAAAAAAATCCTTCTCCTTCCAGACAGTATTTAGCTCTCCTCAACGTCTACTATAAAAGCAAATCTTCCCTCAAAGAAAAATTAGCACAGAAAGATTCAAATAACATTTCCTAAACCTTGTAAAATAAGAACATCAAAGAAAAATCTTCTAAAGGAACTTACCTTTCAGTTAAAACTGACAGAAATCCAACTTATATAAGCTGAAGAAGAAGGACTCCACTGGTTCATAGAGTTGGGCAGCTCAGAAGTTGGGCTAGCTTCAAGCACAGATTGATCCGGGGCTCTTGCACCATTGCTGTCAGCTCTGCTTGGTTGCTTGCTGCACTTAGGCCCTTCTGCAGTTTTCACGATGCTCACCAGCAGCCCCAAACCTCTGGGCCTCTAGCTTGGCAATCCCAGTAGAAGGAGAAGTCCTCCCTGAACAGGAAATCCAGAGAACATTCTGATGGATGAGTCTTGAGCTTGTCCAGGGTTGGGACTCAAGCCCGACCTAGCTCAGACTATATTCTAGTACCACACCAAACGGTGCAAAGAACAGTACCCAGGAGTGCTGGGTAAGAAAGAAATAACAGATGTCCTCTGTCACTTCTAACAAGTCAAAATTACCATCATGGATATTTTAAGAGGCTTGAAACTATAAAACTTTGCTCCCTACAATGTGCAGAGGTGATGGGTTTTCAATTTTAAGGCAAGGTGGCTGGGAAGTTCMAATATCCACACAGACATTACCTAATCTGTTATACTCAACATACTTTTGAATACCAGAGTGGAAATACGCTTATAAAATAGGCCAAAACAAAACAAAACATCCCAAAAATGCAATTTGTAAATCAGATTACAATCCTTTGGTCCCCATGAAACTTTTTGCTCAGGATAAAATATTTCTGTGGTTCGACTTGAAAAAATTTATCTTCTTCATTTTAGCCATGAACTTTTTAAGTAATTGTGAAATTCAAAAAATATATCTAAGTGTGGGGTCCATATTTAKTTTTTTGGTTTGTTATTTTTTGGAGGACAAGGATTAAGGACAGAACCCAGGGGCAATATGCCATGAGCCACATCCTAGCCCTTTTTATTTTTCAGAAGCAGGGTCTACTAAGTTGTTTAGGACCTTACTAAGTTGCTGAAGCTGGACTTTTGTTTCTGATCCTCCTATCTCAGCCTCCAGAGTCGCTGTGATGATAGGCCTGTGCCACCGTGCCTGGCCACATTTAGCTTTAAATCATAAAATAACCTAAGAAGTTCTATTTGCATTATTTTTACCAAAAGTTCACCTATTCTCTCCCCAAATCTTCCTGGTTGGCTGAACCAAGTGACTTTTCCTTAAAACTTACTGATTCTTGAGTAGATGACCAGTTTTACCCTTGAATGCACAACACTCATGTTGAGTAAGTTCCTTAATAAGAAAACTCATCTGAGGACAAGTTTGGAAACCCTTCCATATGAAGTTGTTCATCTTTACAGTAACACAATGAGAACATGAACAAGAGCCAATACTATATGCCAGTGTAATTATAAATACCTTTTATTTGGAATTTTACAATTAAAGCCACATTTCCAAGGCATCTTCAAAAAGGCAGACATGATCAATGTGTTTTAAAGCAATGGTTCTCATCAATGATTAAGACATTCTTAGGTGTTTTGGATCACCAAGAGCAACACAAAATCTTCAAAACAAAACTAGTTTTAAATCTATTTTATTTAAAACAATTTACAAATAGGCCAAATATCACTCAGCCTAAGAGAACTTCAACCTTTTTAACAACATCATAGTCCAAAAAGACTAATACTTACTGCTGATTCAGCTCACAGTATTATCCCTTCCCAGGCAGCAGCACTGTCTCTAGAAATATTTTATGGGCACCTTCTATGGGCATCATAGATTTCCACAGCCACAGGCATGGCCCTGCCCACAAGAAGYTTAGTGTAGCCAGAGAGACAGGAAACACCCAGATCAGACAAACGGAGCTGGCTCCAGTCCACACCTCTATCTTAACAAGAGCTATCACCCACATAAGTCATCACGTGTTTTAGCAAATAAGCCACAGGAATAACCTAGCAATTACATGCTACATCAAGTTTCAACTTGACATTTTGTTAAAAAAGACTACATTTTATTTTATATTTCTGAGTTGCTGGGGATGGGACCCAAAGTCTCACATATGCTAAGCACATATTTTCTACCACTGAGCTACAGCCCCAGCCCAAAAAAGGTTTTATTCAGTTCACAGATATTTGTGTTCACTCATGTTTCCCCTCAATTGAATCAAAAGAAAAATGTAACTCCAAGCCAAYTGTACCATAATGTTTGCTGTCCTAAACGAAAGAATAGCTTGTCCATGTCCTAGAATTTCTGCACAGTTCCACATCCTGATGTCAAATTCAGTAGTTACTGCTAAACCGATGTACAAATTCAGACAGCGTGTAGACAGCGCCCCATCCTACTTCAGGATCCATACTGATGAAATCATTCAAGTTCATTTTGGAGTCTAGAAAAATATATGAAAGAAATGTCTGATGAAAACATAATTTTGACGTAGCAGCAATAAAATCCAGAGACCAAAAAGCAGGAGATATTATTCAAATGGATAAGGGTTCAAGGTCATTTCTGTGGTTCAAGGTCATTTCTGTGTTCAAGACCATTTATTCCTGCCTGTCACAGATTGGAGGAGACATGACAACTAAATACTAAGTTTCAAACAAATTGGAAGAAAAAACAATTATGACTTCATGAAATAACTATAAATGTGAAAACAGACTACAAAGACATATGATAATTTTCCACATATAATAATGGTATTATGGCCATTGTTTTAAAGAAAAGAAACCCTTATATTTTAGAGATACACTAAAATAGCCAGAGTTAAATGGACACACTATCTCACTTCAGAGTAATGCAGGTGGCCGAAAGTGGCTGAGATATAAACAAAACCACCAGCCATGAGCTGTTGGTGTTGGAAATTGAATAAACTATTGTGTCTGGTTTTGTATGTGATTTAAATTTTCCACATAAAATGCCTTTTTGGACTAGGGGTATAGCTCAATGGTTGAGAGTTTTCCTACCATGTGTGGGGCCCTGAGTTTAACCTCTAGCACCCCCACAAAAAAAAAAAAAAAAAAACTTTTTAAAATTCATGCAGCTTCCTGCTTCTGTCCCTCAAAGAACTGTTATAGGAACTGCATTTCTATCACAAACCACCAGAAAACTGGACAAAAGATACAAAGGGACTGGACAATGGGCAGCGAGTGGACAATGGTAGCACATGACCATGAATTTCAAGGATCAGACACAAGTAAGGAGAGGCCGGGAAAGGACTCACAAACAGCCTAGAAGGGACACACAAACAGCCTGGCAGTCTCCCTGCGTGAGAAGACAGAGGCTGAAGTTCAGGAAGGCCCCCAGGAGCTAGGGGTGAGAGCATCAGAGCCCAGGGGAGCTGCAGAGGGACCCCCTGTGTCTCTGGACAAGTACTGAGCTTCTCTTTCATACTGGATGAAACACGCGAGGACAGGGAGAGAAGCAGCAGGAAGCAGAAAGTCTGACAATTTCCAGAACTTCCACAGTGACAATTCGCATCCCTTGGTTTCCTTACCATGGGGAAAAAAGGCTCTTTTCTTTAAACCACTAAATGCAAAGTGGGAAATAGTGGTGAACCTCCAGACAGTCAGGTAGCCACTAAAATTTATTAATGCATATGCTTAATCTTAGCCTACAACATGTCAAAAATAATAAATTTTCAGTTATAAGAGTCACTTCTGACTGGAGTTGTGTAGCTCAGTGGTACAGCGCTTGCCTATTGCGGGAGGCACTGGGTTCAATTTTTAGCACCCACATAAAAATCAATAAATAAAATAAAGGTCCATCAACAACTAAAAAAACAATTTTTAAAAAAACATCACTTCCAAAATTATGTGCAAAAAGCTGCATATAACTACTCTTCTTAATGCATGTGTTTAGACATGCTTTCATTTTAAAATTTGACTTCGGGAATAATTTTTTTAAACCTTCTTTATTTTTCACAAAACACCACTCATTAGCTAAAAGTAAATCACATTTATCCTAACTTCTAATACATCCTTTTAAAAAAAAWTTTTTTAGATATTGATGGGCCTTTATTTTATTCATTTATTTATATGTGGTGCTGAGAATCACACCCAGTGCCTCACATATGCTAGGCAAGCACTCTACCACTGAGCCACAACCCCAGCCCTCTAATACACCCTTTTGATAAATACAGCATTTGAGGTAATAAATTCACCACATGACAGAACATTATAATTAGGTTACATAATTACATGAGAAACCAACACATTTACCTCATGCTCCACAGATCTCTTTTGTTGGTTTTGATTTCTTTGTTGTTGTTATTGATTTGGTCCTGGGGCTCCAGAGATGCTCTATCACTGAGCTACATCCCCAGCCCTTTTTTTTTCTTTTTGGGGTGCTGGGGATTGAACCTAGGCGCTTGTGCATGGGAGGTAAGCACTCTACCAACTGAGTTATATCCCCAGTCCCCAAATTATAAGGTTTTATTTTGTTGTTGTTGTTTGTGGTACTGGGGTTTGAACCCAGGGCTYTGTGCATGCAAAGCAAGCACTCCACCAACTGAACTATATCCCCAGCCCCCCAGCCCTTTTTATTTTTTTTATTTTGAGACATGGTCTTCCTGAGATGCTCAGGAACTCACTAAGTTGCTGAGGCTGGCTTTGAACTTGCAATCCTCCTGCCTCAGCCTCCCAAATTGCTGGGATTACAGGTGTGCGCCACCATGCCCAGCTAGATTCCTTTTTTTAATTCAATCTCAAATTCAGAAGGCCCCTGATAAGTTAACTACAAATGAAGCCCAAGACTCCTCTTGAAGAAATCCCTCCTCAAGCACTGTGCACTAACCTGTAACCAGCCCTGCTGCTCTCCAGCTGTGTACACTTACACAAAGGGCTGAATCTCATGCACTTCTCTCTATCCATCTAGCCAATGAGGAAATCACACTTGGCTCATTGGGTTTTAGTGAAAATTAAATTGAACTAATATGTTAAGGGGCTGGCCAAAGCCTRGCATAACATGGCACCTAATGAAGAGGAGTCCTCTAAACCAAAGAATGGCCCAATTAGGATCAGGGCTGACCAGGTGGGGTTTACTAATTGCCTGTCATGTGCTAGCCCCTTAGGTGCCCACATCTAAAAGAAAAATGAATAGTTGCTGAAGGCACAGTATGCCCAGACCAGACCCCATGCAGCAGAGAGTAGTCTGCTAACTTAGGAGCCTGCCCAGTTCTAACGCACAGGCTGGGAAGCAGGTTGGTATACCAATAAGCAATTCCACATTTTTTTTTTTTGGTACCGGGGATTGAATCCAGGGGCGCTTACCACTGAGCCACATCCCCAGCCCTTGTTATTTTTTATTTTGAGACAGGATTTTGAGACAGGGTCTCACTAAGTTGCTGAGGCTGGCTTTGAATYTGTGATCCTCCTGACTCAGTCTCCTGAGCCACTGGGATCACAGGCTGTGCACCCAGCACTTTTTCCTTTATTTTTAATTATAAGAGCTTTTCACAGCCTCAAAAGCCAGAGTCTGAACCTTCTTTAAGTGTGCTCTGCCTTCAAACATGACAAATAATTTTTTAAATATTTTTATTAGTTATTGATGGATCTTTATTTATTTATATGTGGTGCTGAGAATCGAACCCAGTGCCACACATGCTAGGCAAGCGCTCTACCGCTGAGCCACAACCCAGCCCCCAAATAATTTTTTTCCTTTCTTCCTTGATGAACTATTTATATGACTGTCCTGTCTTCCCAGCATCCTGCACAGCTTTCGAGCACTTTCATGCAGACTGTATTAGCCATGTACTGGGATGGTCTCACCAACAAGCAAGAATGTTGTGAATGACTTCCAGTCATAAACAGTGTTTCAAATGCATATGAATGCCAGATAATAACAATAAGGAGAGCAACCCTCCATCTTCTTAAATCTCAGGAAATTATCAACTGGACTGCTGCCTAGAAGCCCATAAATGAAACAAGTGGCACACTACACCCTGCTGGCTCTCACCTCCCTCCAGTTCAGGGTTCATCACAAAGTCACTGAAATGACATTTCACACATGCTGAGGATGCACTGGGGATTTCTTTCACCATAACATGAAACGCTACCATGGCAAATGCTACTCATCCCACTATTAAGTGACACAAGCAWGCAGACCTTTGGCACCCAGCATCCCACAGTAGGAACATCCACTAATCTGGCAGAGTGCACGTGCATGGCTCTGCTCCTTAACAGCTTTCCTCTCCCAGGAGTTCTTATGCCTTCCAGACCTGTCCTCTGTGCCTCAACTTCCCAACCTAAGAAACACACAGAACTAGCACTTCCTCTTCCTTCCTCACCACTCAAACCGCTGGGAAAGGCACCCTTGGCTCACCTCCAGTTTCAATGCAGGGGTAGGGTGGAGGAGGCTCTCTCCAGTTCCCACTGGAGTCTTTCATGTGAGATCGGTCGGAAGCAAAGTTCTTCAGGTAGGAATCTGCACGGATCACTCTAAATTTCCTGCAAATCAATCAACAGAACTTATGTTAGRGAGATGTCACATTGGGAATTCTAACTCAGCTTTTAGATAGACTCATCTTCTATGACATGCACAAAACTACTCATGCATTTTTATCCTGTTAGTAATATAAAGCTTTATTACCTATTAAAATACTCTATGGGAAATGACTAAAGTCTAAAGATATGAAGGTACAGAAATATACCTACCTAGTTGCCTTTATTTACTCAATTGTGATTCAGGCAAAGGGCATGATCTTCTGGAGTTGGCCTCACAGTTCTCTTAATTTTGGCAGCATGAGAATCCCCACCCCTACCCATCAAAGGAGAGTATGAGAGAACCTCCCAGGGTGCCCCCCAAAACATGTTTGAGATCTCATCACAAATTTTTAAGACTGCCAACCTTTAATATGATGTATAACCTTCAAAGCTCTAACATATTGTTTTTACTCTCCTGTGTAGCAAGCACATCATTCTCAAGTATCAACTCAGTATTGAGGCCAAGCAAGGTAAGTGATCTTTACAAAACAAATACAAAAGAAGGGAAGAAAATAGAAAGAACCTCTGTGCAATTGCCAAGTCCTTACGTCAGACACTAATTCATCCTGAATGTCCTCACCTCCTAAACTGTGGATGAATGTCATCGTCAGACTTAAAGGCCTCTTCTACGTAAGTGTCAAAGGGGCAGGGAAATGGCAAGACAGTATCGAGATCATAAATGAAGCTCTGTCCTCCACTTGACACATGAAGCAAAACAACATGGTAATCCTAGAAGTAAAAATTGCTGATGTTAACCAAGTTACTCTAGGATGACAAATCGCAAGGTCCCATGAGCAATGCACATATATTATCACAAAAACAGATACAAGACGAATACAGCCCTCCTTAAAAACAGCAGAATTTTTAAAAAGCAAACAAAAAGCCCTGAAAATAAACTAAATGTCCACTGACAGAGAAATGGCTAAGAAATAAAGGAAATGTTCATTTATGTTAAATGCATATCCTTCRACCCAATAATACTACCTCTAGTAAACTGTCTTACAGGGAAATGGTCATATGCAGGCAAAGGTATATGTACAAAGAAAACCTCTGCATCATTGTTAATAACAATGAAAATTCTGAAACAGCCCCAAGTCCTTCAATAAAATAGTGGTTAATAAACTATGATACAGCCACATATTAGCATACTATRCAACTACTGAAACAAATAGGCAAATTTATATGGAAAACTGAAAAATATCCATTATCTATTATTACCTACTATTATTAAAACTATATGTATATTAGGACACACATGTACACTTGGAAGTATATACACATGCATGTGAAGTAGAGGGAAAACTCTACAAGGATACCCTCTGCTATAGTCTGGATATTAAATGCCCCCCAAAATCCCATATGTTAAAGGCTTAGACCCCAGAATGGCACTATGAGGAGGTGATGGAACCTTTAGAGGCAAGACCTAGTGGGAAGTCTTCTGGGCACTGGAGATATGCCTTTCATGGAGACCATGGGACCCCAGCCCTTCTTTTTCTTTCTCCCCTCACCAATGAGGTAAGCAGCTTTGCCCCACCATGCACTCCCGCCTTGACGTGCTGCCTCACCACAGCCCCAAAAGCAACTGATCATGAACCAAAACCTCTAAAACTGAGAGACACAATAAACCTTTGCTCTTTATAAGYTGATTTATCTTAGGTGTTTGTTAAAGTGTCAGAAAGCTGACTAACACCCTCCAAATTTTTAACAAAGGGGACTTCTTGAGTTTAGTGTGGAAAGAGTCTAAAGGACTTATATATCCAGTTTTGTACTACTTTTCTAATTAAAACAAAGAAAAAAAGAACTTTTWAAAAAAAGTCAGCCATGCTCTCATCTGTAGCCATGAAGGGAGAAGGATAAAAGTTGTGCCACCCAATTTTGTTACAGAGCAGATATTACTTCCTACTCTCACTCCCAGATACAAGGCACTACTAACACCAGCTAATAAGGGCCAAAAGGGTTTCAGGATTATCAGGGGAATATGAGTAGACTGGTGCTTTGGCCCCTCAGGAAAAAAAATGCTCTCCACAGACAACAGCACACCAAAATAAATCTCAATATAACAACATTAGTAATAACTTCTTTTATTCCTACAGTACTTTAGAGTTCACAAGGCACTTATTCCATCTGAGCCCTGCAAAGTCCCTGTGAGGTGGGAAAGTTAATTGAGACTGGAAACATACCATCAGCATGAAAGCTTCCCTTGGCTCCAACTCCATCCCTAGTAGAGCAGAAATAACATCAGAAATGGATGCTTCCTCCCTGCACTCCTTTTATCCTTCAAGATAAATGGACTAAAAGCTGCAGCCCCTTCTGGCCCACCACTTCCTTCCGCTGGGCTTGCTCGTGTTACACATTCCCCCACCGTAGCAGCAACCTTCTCCACCTCTCTCCACCAAACAAGCTCTGGCTCAAAGGCTTTCTCTCTCAGGAATGTGCTTTTCGTCTTTCCTAACCCCTGCCAGAAGTAATCTCTACCTTACCCAAAATCTATTTCTGTTAACATCTTCAATTCCTATCATTAGTTTTCACAAGGGTGAAAAAAATAAGTCTTACCCTCAGGGGTCAGTAGAGAAATGTAGGGTAATCAGAAGAGAATGGATGCAGTACCGCGTGATGAAGAGAAAGAACAGGAGCACACACAGCTTGTACGGGGAAGAGCCTGCCCAAAGCTCAGTCCCTCCATTTCCCAGCCTCAGCTTCCTCTTATAAACTGGAGATAACTGGAGTGTCTACCTCGTAGAGTTAATGGGACAGGGAGTATGTCAATGCTCATCCTTTTCAAAAGCCAATCAAGAAACAGAGGGGACTGGGATCCACCTGCCAAGGACAGCATCACTCAAATCCTGCTTGAGAGCTTTCCAGAAAGAAGACAATCTGTGGAAAACCAAGAGCAACCACACCCCAGTCAGTCAGGCCCATATTCCTACTCAGCACATGGCTGCTGGGCTTGGGGGGAWGAGGTCTCACAGTGTATATGTGGAGTCATGAAACAAACAGGTGGTTCAGTGTTTGCCCAGCTGCCAGGAAATAACCCACTGGGCTGGAAGCAGGATACCCCTCTGGGAGGGGATCTGCTCCTGGAGGCTGGATTGCCCTACCTGCTCAGCAAGGCCAACCCATTTCCTATAAGAGGACAGCACTGAGACAAAGATAAATCTGCCAGGCTGTGGGGAGACTTCCTGCAGCAGGATTGTGCACCCTGAGCTGCCATGAGATGTGGTGGAAGGGATGTGTCCACAGGTCCTTTCCCAGGAAGCCTCCGCAGACGGGGAGCAGCTGAGCAGTTCAGCAGCAGGGTTGAACTCCTAGAGAAGGTGGACAGCCTGCAATAGGAGTTATGTAGCATTGCCAACAATAGCCACCAAACACCAACTTTAAAATTTTTTTTTTCATATTGAAGATTGCATCCAGGGTGCTTCATCACCAAGCTACATCTCCAGCCCTTTTTATTTTTTTATTTTGAGATAGGATCTCATTAAGTTACTGAGACTGGTCTCAAGTTTGTGATCCTCCTGCCTCAGCCTCCCAAGTTACTGGGATTACAGGCATGTGCCACCATACCCAGCCCACCTCTTCTTAGGTGTCCTCTTCGTTACCTCATTTAAGCATTACAACCTCACTAACACTGAAGAGACAGGCTATGTAACTAGTCAAACCCCTGCTCCTAACTGGGACTTAAACCCCTGCTCCTAACCACAACCGTGCTAGGTTTGGGCTTTGATGTTGGTATAAAAGATCAAGATAGAGACAGAAATTCTGTGAGTCTCCAAGTTTTAGTCTGCTTTGTGACTGCTATATAAAAGGCACCAATTATCCTATGTGAAATAAATGGAGACAATTCAAACAATACATCATAATCTTGAGTAGGTATGTAGAAATTAGGAGTTTGTTACGTTATTATTTATAAAATTCTTCTTTAACTTTTTCTCCATCATTACTAATAAACAATTCCATTCTTCAKGAAGACAGGTTAAAATGACACACAGAGGTGTACAGGAAAGAACCCAGGTCTAAGACCCAGTTCTTCCACTGACCTTGAGCTACTCACTCGCTATGCCTTTCTGTGGTTGTTTTATCATCTAAAAAATGAAGGCATTGGAGTGGATATCTCTGTGTGGGTGCATGCACATGTGCTTTGTCTTTTGTTTTAGATCCATGTCTTTCAAATGGAGATGATGTTCAGCCAGGAGTGTATTAAGAGCACTATTTATGAACCTCTTTCTAGATGAACCAACCCAGGAATCTATAATTTTAACTACTCTCCAGATAGCTCTAATATGCAGCTGGACTGCATACTGATAAAAGTTCCTTTCAGGGGCTGAGGTTGTAGCTCAGTGGTAGAGCACTTGCCTGGCACATGTGAGGYCCTGGGTTCAATCCTCAGCACCACATAAAAAATAAATAAACAAAATAAAGGTGTTGTGTCCATCTAGAATTTAATTTTTTTTTCTAAAGTTCCTTTCAGTGCTAAAAGGATAAGTCCAGAAGATCACAAATATGTCTCCTACACTGGCCATTTAAAAATCATTCCTAGAGCTCTCTTYCTGGAAGCAGCCTGAGACAATCTGTGAAAATGATTTGCTACTCTCTTAACTCAGAAAATCCCACAAAAATCATGCAAATCAAGAAGTTCAAATCTTTGTGTTCACTTTATACACATCTGTGAAACTTCCCAGGCCATCACAGGTGTGTGTATCTGAAAAGACGTACATATCTGAAAGATGTCCCTTTAAAGAAGCAAGGTGTACGATTCTAGCATTACAATGATGAAACAGGTAGTTATGCTAAGGCCCAACTGGGTCTGGACACAGGTCAGGGGCCCAAAAAGAGTGCTGAATTTTTGTGCACATGCTTAAAAATGCAGAGAATTATGCTGAACTTAAGGGTTTAGATGTGGATTCTCTGGTCATTGAACATATCTGGGTGAATAAAGCACCCGCGATGTTTAACAGCCCCTGGCCAGATGAACCATTAGGTATGCTTCCTCTGCCACCTGAGGTAATCATTATTAGAAAGAAGAAATTGTTCCTAAACCAGAAGAAGAGGCTGTACCAAAGAAAAAGATATCCCTGAAGAAACAAAATTTATTACACCAGAATAAATTTAGTATAAATAAATAAATGCAAATAAAAGCATAAAAAATAAAATCATTCCTATAATAATGCCAAAATAAAAATTAAAATATGCCTGTAGTACTTCTACCTTAGACCAAATAACATCTATTCTCAAAAGAGTGAGAATAAATACCATTTATATAAATAAATATATAAATTTAAAAATACCATTTATATATATATATATATATATATACCATTTAATAAATATATAAGTAAATACCATTTATAGCTGGGTGAGGTGGCACACGCCTGTAATCCCAGCGGCTCGAGAGGCTAAGACAGGAGGATCATAAGTTCAAAGGCAGCCTCAGCAAAAGCGAGGTGCTAAGCAACTCAGTGAGACCATGTCTCTAAATAAAATACAAAATAAGGCTGAGGATGTGGCTTAGTGGTCAAGTGCCCCTGAGTTCAATCCCCAGTACCCCCCACCAAAAAAAGTCTATTTATTAGTAATTGCCATAGCCTTTCTCTCCTGTCCCTCTCAATTCTGCTTTCCCAAAGTGTAAAGACCACTCAGGGGTCACAAGAAACACTGAAGGCTCTCCGAATGGACATCTTACCCAGATCACGGGTCCATTTCCAGGTCTCGCCTGCTGTTTCCAGATAGGTATCTATAAAATATAGTATATCCCATAGTTTCAGTTAAACCACTACTAGATCATTTAAAGCAGTACATAAATAAGAAAAAAAAATATTTCTGAGCAACCAAAAATCAAGGTAAAAGAATAAGTTAATGAATAAGAATAAATTCAACTCCTTCTTAGTATCCTCAATAATGAAAGCTCATAAGAGCTCAAGTTATTGTAAAGTCTTCTTTGGAGTGAAAAAGTATCTGGACTAGGACTCAGAACACTTGGCAGAACATGAGCACAGTGGCACAGGCCTGTAATCCCAGCACCTCATGAGGCTGAGGTTTAGCAATTTTGCAAGGCCCTAAGCAACTTAGCAAGATCTCATCTCAAAATTTTAAAACAAAGGGCTGGGGATGCAGCTCAGTGGTTAAACAGCCAAGTTCAACCTCTGGTACCAAAAAGAACACTTGGCAGGTTCAGATTCAAGTCTTTTTTTTTTTTTTTTTTTTTAAAGAGAGAGTGAGAAAGGGGGGGAAACAGAGAGAGAGAGAAAGAGAATTTTCCAACATTTATTTTCTAGTTCTCGGCGGACACAACATCTTTGTTGGTATGTGGTGCTGAGGATCGAACCCGGGCCGCACACACGCCAGGCGAGCGCGCTACCGCTTGAGCCACATCCCCAGCCCCCAGATTCAAGTCTTTATTTCCCATTGTATTATTCACAGGACCACTCTGAGTCTTTATTTACTCTCCTCTAAAATGGAGAAAGCTGTCCAAACTTGCTTCCATTGGCATCTAATGAAATGATGCCTACAAGAGTACGTTATAAAAAGAAGGGTTCACTTTTCTAATACTTTCTATAGGTTCATTATGATTCTCTTCAAAACTCCAGAGACAAATCTTTTCTTCAAACCTAAGAATTATGTGGTTTCCATATAAGCACTTAAAGCTCTAAATTAATACCTAAAGGGATTTAATCTGTGTGAGTGTGCCATAATATACTTACTCCCTCATCTATTATTTAAGCAAGGAACAAAACTTTTCTAACTCAACTGTGTCCTTTAAGAGAAAAATAAAAATCTCATTCAAAAACACTTTAAAATGTTCCTGTATTTTATAAAGCACATCTTAGAATAGTACTGACTGAACCCATGCTGCATTCAACTTCTGCGCTCATCCTAAATCTCATTTCCTTTCTTCAATCACTAACCAACTTACCATCTTCCTCTCATTTGATATAAAGACAGCATAACACTCTTCCAAAGGATACTGGTTGTGGTTTTTGATGTATTCACAGAGTTTCCAAATATTTTCTTCACTGAAATAAAACAACTGGTTAATCAATATAATTAAAAGCAAACTCTCTTTGTTATTCAAATTTTAATTAAAGACTGATGATGACATAAAAAAATTGGAAGAGACTTTAAACACTTTCTAATCCAACAACTAACTAACATTTAAATCTCCTTCTGTACAGGCACAGTGGCAAACACCTGTAATCCCAATGACTTAGGAGACTGAGGCAGGAGGTTGGTAAATTCAAAGCCAGCCTCAGCAACTTAGTGAGACCCTAGGTCACTTCGCAAGACTCTATCTCAAAATAAAAAATAAAAATAAATAAGAACTAGGGATGTGGCTCAGTGGTTAAGCATCCTTGAATTCAATCTCTGGTATGTATGATCACATGTATAAATATATAAATAAATAAATGTCCTCTAAACATCACCAACAAGCTGCTGTCCCAACCTGCACTGAGGTGGCACCTCTGCAGACACAGGGATCATTACCCCATAGCACTACTTGTCTATGGAGAAAGTTTACAACCAATAAAATGCKATGTCACAATTCCATAAGTGTCTGRTTGAGAGACTTGCAATGCAGCTAGAATTCCAACTGAGCCAATTACAAGGTAAGAAGCATTGACCCTCTTGATCTGAGAATCTCCTTTGCTCATCTGTAAAATGCACATAATCATATCATATTGTAAATACTCAATAAATCTTAGTTAACACTGGTTCCCTGCTTGCCTTAAATAAAGGGCAGGTTGGGTGTTTTGGGGAACAAGACTCCTGGCTGGCAAGGATCKGGAACAGTTCCATGATAGGTCCAGGAAAGAGTCCCTGTGAGTGGGATTCCCTGAGCCCCTCTAGTAAGGAGGAGGTCTTGACTTTTAGAAAGCCCTTACTCATACTGAACTAAAAAACCCACCTTCCTACACGTCTACCCTGGATCAATCTCTCTTCTCTATGACAAGCCTTGAGTGATCCAAAACAGTAACCAGAACAACCTAAATAAATTGGTGCCTAGTGCATCAAATAAGCAACTGAACCACACTCCAGAGTAACTAAGCACACACAGGCAGTAACTAAGCCACACTCCCAAGCATGGGCAAATATGGCCGCCGTTMAGCCTCTGAGCTCAGCCTCTTATCTAATGAACCACACAGTACCTTTGCTCAAAATGAGATACACTCATAACTATGTATAACGCACTAATTAAGAAAACTAGGGAAAAAATGAGCTACACCAACGCTCTGCTCAGAGCACATGACTCAATCTGTCAAGGATGAATTTCCAGTCATCTACACRAAACTACCTGAAAACAAAGCAAGACACAAACAACATTCTCTCCATTTCGTACAAATACACACCCTTTCAATTCACACATCTTGGCCTTGACTACCTGCCTCAATGCTCCACACAATTTAAAACACCAAAATCTGACATCTGTATTTTTCTCCTGTGGTTTTGTTTTTCTCTAAAATAACAAGGAAATCTTGAGGAGAAAGTGATACTGGTGGTGGCAACAAAAGGAAGCTTGCAATGACTCCTTCAACATGATCTATATAATAGATAACAAAAATTCACTGTCGTTTCCATACGACAAATGGCATGCAGTAGCTCAAACTTTTCAAATCCAAGTTTTGAGAAGACATTTATCTGTCTGGCCTACAGAAATTTTTGAAGAGTTTAACCAAAACATCTTCAAGAGCCTGTGAGGAACAAAACACTAAATTAAGTGCTTGGAGGATATGATGATAAATTAAAGCTTACATATGCTGAGAGGAGATATAAAGATCAATAAACAGCAAGCAGCACAGAAAGACAAAATGAAACATACCAAAAGCCCAGAGGAGGGAGTCATTATTTGGAGAGATATGGGAAGATGCAAGAGATACAGGACATCAGTTTCTCCTTGTCTGTTCCCCTATCCCTCATCTTACAGGTGGGAACAGAATTCATGAATCGACAAGTACTACTTATAGACTGAATTTTTTTTTTTTTTTGAACCAGGGATTGGACCTTGAGGTGCTTAACCACTGAGCCACATCCCCACCCCCTTTTTAAAATTTAAAGACAGGGTCTTGCTGAGTTGCTAAGTGCCTCACTAAATTGCTGAGGCTGACTGTGAATTCACAATCCTCCTGCCTCAGCCTCCTGAGCCACTGGGATTACAGGGGTGCACCATAGCGCCCAGCCAGTACTATTAATTTTTAATACAGTGTGAATATTACAGAGAGAAAAAATTTGAACATAGAGTTTCTGAATTTTATTCATTCTCTTTTTATCATCAGATCATAATATGCAGAAAAATCTCATGAAATTTTTGATGCTAAAAAAAAAAGAGGTACTTATATTTGAAAATGCAGGGAACCACAGTTAGAATAGAACAAACAAAAAGGGTGATGATACTGTCCCCAAGCTGTCAAGTGATCATTCTAAAAGACAAAAGCCTAACAAAGCAGCATAAGGACTGAGACTGCAGGGGTTACCCATAATGGGCTGAGGCCAGAGAAGCAAGCTGAGTGGACATTCCTGACACACAGCAGGTACTACACAAATGTTTGGGAAAAAAACTAAACAATTAAAACAGAATCAGAAATACCCTAGGGGCTCAGGGTGTAGCTCAGTGGCATGCTGGGCAAGCACAAGGCAGTAGGTTGATCCCTACACTGTGTGGGGGGGGGGTGGAATAAATATTGCTGTGCAAACCATATAGTCCCATACAAACAATGGCCACCRCTCTTATCATTAAATGGGGTTGTGAAATACAAGTAACATCTGACAGAAACTAACAGAAGAAAAAGCGTTTATTTCAAATTAGAAGAACCTAATAGAGCAGAAGCAAAGTGCACCGATTGATGTGCTCAGACAGGATAGAGCACTGTTTCCCAAGCACAGGTGACCATGTCCCCAAGAGGACATTTAGCAATGTCTGGAGACATATTTGGTTGTCACACAACTGAGAGGAGGTTGCTAATAGCATCTAGTGGGTAGAGGCCAGGGATGCTGCTACACATTCTATTCAAAAAAAAAAAAAGACCATCTTCTCAGAAGACATTTATCTCTTGCCATTCTCCAACCAGATCACTCTCCCAGAATTGTATCAGTCTCCCTCTTATTTCTCGAATACTGACTGCATGCTTCCTTCTCAGGGCCTTTGCACCTGCTGTTCTCCCTGCATGAAATGATCTTCCCCCATTAGCCACAAAGCACTTGCCCTCTTTTCCACAGRTCTCTATTCAATATCACCTTATCAACAATATCTTCCTTAAGTATCCTAACATAAAAATAATATTAGTCGCCAGGCAGGGTGGCACAGACCTGTAATTCCAGCATCTTGGGATGCTGAGGCAGAAGATCCAAAGCCAGCCTCGGCAAAAGCAAGGTGCTAAGCAATTCAGTGAGACCCTGTCTCTAAATAAAATGTAAAATAGGGTTGGGGATGTGGCTCAGTGGTGGAGTGTCCCTGAATTTAATCCTTCATTWCTCCCCCAAAAATGGTATTAGTCATCACCTTTTGCTTTTTCCTATTTTCCTCATAGCATTACCACTACCCAAACATGAATCACTTGTCCTTTTCTGCTTTCCCCCATCAAAATATAAGAACCAGGAGATGTTACCAAGGAAATATCAATTTTGTTCACTGCTACCTCCCCAGTGCCTAGAATCACACATCACATATTCCAAGTGCCTAATAAACATTTATTGAATGAATGAATGAAACAATGAATGTCTGCTAGGAGTGA